CTTGGCAGTTATCGAGTGGTTGCTTATACTATAGTATTTCTTTTATGCCGGTGGCCTGAACGGAGACGTGGCGTGCCTTTTAGCCACTCCCACGCGCCTTTCCTGGAGCCATCTTGACCGTTGATCGGCATTAGCGTGTTAGATCAAGCTTGCGTGTGCACGAGTGGGCCCGACATCTGTTGGCAACATTTTCTGGAGTCAACACGTAGCATTATTATCTTCAACACTCCATTAATTCGTACATCTCGCCTCTATGGCAATTTTTGTCCATAAAGTTCACTGGGAGGACGTACAATGTTTTATTTGTCCGTTATATTTTTTTAAAATATAAATACAAAAGAACGACAATGTACTTTTTCCTCATTTCCAAACATGAAATAAAAATATTTTTATAATAACCAAATCATCAAGCATGTAATGTGTTAATTAATGAAAGGTTGAACGTAAGAATTTGATGGGAAAAAAGATATGAACACAAATTTTTTAATGAACAAAGATCGATGTGCAATTAAAATTTGGTGCAATTAATAACAAATTTGGTGGTTATTGTCGATACCGGTTTTAAAAATATTGAAAAAAAAAAAAGAAAGGAAAATCACTATTTTTAGCATAGTGTAATAAAGAAGAAAATTTACAAAAATAAATGAATAATTTGAAAAAATGAAAAGTAAAAGCAACTACCAGAAAAGTACCTCAAACCTTCTATTCTAGGCACCACCTCAATAACTTCTTAGTTTGCACCACATAACGCCTAAATTAAAAACCCTAAAAACCCAAATTGTTCAACAAATCCGATCAAAAGGCTGTATCCACTCACATGGCTTCATCAGAAATCGAAATCGTGTCAGAATCGGCTGACCAGAAACCCTCCAATCGGAACCCTAATGAACTCCAGATAATAGACATTTATTCAGCCTCTGCGTACGGAGACTTCGAGAAGCTCCGGCACTTTGTCGAAAACGATGGCGTTTCGGTTTCCCAACCTGACGGAAATGGCTACTATCCCCTACAGTGGGCTGCCCTCAACAATTTCGCTGACGTTGTTCAGTACATAATTGAGGTGTACTATTGCAATATATGTTTAGAACTTGTAATTTCCTGTTTTCGTTTGTTTATTTGGGGTCTGTTTTGGGTTTGACGATTGATTTGATATAATTGAGTTTTTGTGTGGAAGCGTGGAGGTGATGTGAATGCTTCGGATAATGCGGGGCAAACGGCACTGCACTGGGCAGCGGTTCGTGGTTCAATTGCAGCAGCGGACACGCTGATGCAGAATGGAGCGCGTGTTGAGGCTGCTGATGTTAATGGTTATCGGGTAATTGTTCTGAGTTTGTTGACATTTTAATTTTCAGACAGTGGCATTGATATGTATACTGTTGAAGCTCTGTTGGAAATTTAATTTGCAGTCAATAGGATTGAATTTAGGGTGTGTTTTGAGCCGCATAAATTTTCTTAGTGGTTTCTTCATTTACTATTGAAAAAAGATAGATTTTGTGGTAAACTGTTATAGACGTGGCATCAGAATGGATTACTTCTTTAGGAAGCGACTCAGTGTGTGGGTGGTCTTTTTGGAAATTATCTGATGCTAGCAGAATTTCATTATTTTCATTATTTTTTGGTCCTTACAGTTGAAATACTTAGTAAATGAGAATACTAATATTAATTTCAAATATGAAAAATCCAATCCTCATGTTGTCACCAACCAATGGAAAAGGCATTAGGCAATAATGTTTAAATGATTAGAACCTTGTGGTGCATATATATTTAATGGTGACCAAATTCACATGCACATACATTTGTATATTTAATGGTGACCAAATTCACATGCACATACGTTTGTATAAGTTGCGTAATCTGTCCGTGGTCACCAAGCTGTGTTTTTATCTCGGACATAGAGAATTGATGGATTCGGTTTAAGGGGAAAATCACCTCTCTCTCATTCGTATTATAAAAGGAGAGTCGGATACAGAGTTCTATTCACATGGGGCAGTGTGAAAATTCTGCGGTTCAGTTCTATTTTATGGTTTGTTGATGTGTCACATATCTTGTGTTTCCATATTCCAATTGATGGCAGCTACCTAAATCAAAACTATTTACGTTGCAGGCGGTTCATGTAGCAGCACAATATGGGCAAACAACATTTCTGAATCACATCGTTGCTAACTATCATGCTGATTTTGATGTACCTGATAATGACGGGAGGACTCCACTTCACTGGTATGTTAAATGCCTGTGCAATTTATATACCATAATATTTTATTCTGTTACATTAAATTATTTGAATACAATTCTCACTCATATATTTCTCTTGCTATGATAATTCGTTGATGTCTGAGACGACTTAGTTGTTATTGTATATGTCCAACTTTAAAATAAAATATGCATAATGCTTCGCAAGACCATATAAAGAAATGAAACTTTCAATTTTCAGAAACTGATTTTTCCTAACATTTCAGGATTAGGTGTCTTTACACATGCTAATCTATGATTAACATTTGTCTTTTTCATTTTGGCTTTCTTATTTCCCAGAAAATTCTAGTCATAGCTTTCTCTTGATACAAAATTGAGTATAAACGTTACTAGAGATATTTCTCTAATCCTTTCTTTGGTTTCTGAAGAAATTTATTTTTGGATAATATATTCATGACACCTTTATGCTTCATTTTTTTTCTTGGAAATGGGAACATTGAAACATTCAAAATACTTTTAGCTACCATGCCATGATACTGTACTCCATTCCTTTTTCATAATGGAGTAGAGATTTATATTAACAGCATTAGCCTATCTCTCCTCCACTTATAATTTCCTTGCTCAGCAACATCTTCTGTTGTTGGGTCCTATTTTCTTGTTTGAGTGTTTCTTTAATCTTTCAAAATAGTTTGGTTTCACTTCATGTTTTCTAGTCGTATATCTGGTTTTCGGAGTTCTCCCTAACTTAGTGATTGTCTGGCTGGCCATGCATCGTCTTCTATTTCCGTTGCATGATTGTCCTTATTGCGTGTGGTTTTCATGCCCACGCCGACCATAATTTGATTCTTCAGAGTAATGCATTTAGGGACAATTGCTCTGGTCTATGTGAAATGTTCAGTACACTAAATTGCTACTTTTCCAAGTTGATATTGAAAAGTCAAAAGTGATACTCCTAAAAACCCACTTTTATGCTTTGCATTGGTGGATGTACATGAAAGTGAAGGCCTCTCAAACTCATGGTGATTGCTTTCATGGTGGTCTTATTATATTTAAATGCATTAAACTTTTTTTTTTGAGTGTTTCAAACACAAATTGATCCTCTGCTGCTTCCAACTAGGGCTGCATACAAGGGATTTGCTGATACTATTAGATTACTTCTGTTTAGAGATGCCTGCCAAGGGAGACAAGATAAAGAAGGTATCTTAACTTGGGATGGAGCATTCTTAAATAATTTGGAATCATGTATAATTTGGAGTCAACTTCTCTTTGCATAGTATAACTACATAGTCAAGAAGTCCCATACGTGGAAGAGTAAAACAATTTGCAATGGTTGAAGTATGTTTAAGCTTTATTGGTAGAACATCGTTAAAGGGTTTTGGGCATGTAAAAATGCAATTTTCACATTTTAGTGTCTTTTATTGTTAATATTAACCTGGCTACGTATATAATTGAAGAAACTACCTGACTTGATTTTTATGTTTTTCTTAAGCTATCTTACACTTATCTTTTTTATGACGAACAATCAAGTTTCACAATTCCTGGCTGTTCTTTCCCTTTGTCTCCCTCTCATTTTGATTGATGGAATGAGAAGTCTTTGGTTGGGGTTGAGTGGTTGGCAGAACAACTAAAAGAAATTGATGAGGGAATCTCCACTTTAACAACTGTTGTCGAAGTATGAAAAGAACAATTTTTTCCTGGCCTCAGAAAGTTATAAATGGATGAATAATTATGCATTTAATTGAACTGATTTATCTACGTGCAAGTGTGGTTTCGGGAATGTAATAGTTCCTACCACATTGGAAGAAAGTTTGTGGCAATGAAGATAATTGAAGATTGGAAGTGTTGTTTCCAAACTTGACACTGTTACTTGCTCATTAAGTGTACCTTTTTGGGCTGAGCTTGTAGGGCATGTTTGGCTCTCCTTAATGTTACTTTTCTGACTTACTTTCGAGAAAAGTAAGTTTTATTTGTGAATAAAGTAACTTTAAAAATCATGATTGGCAAAATTAATAATCTTTTAAGTTTCACTTCCTTTTAAGCAAAGCCACACATGCTCATTTATTCAACAATCTTAGTACCACGGTAGAGAATTTGACAACCGGGAATTGGATAGAGAGGTTAAGAGCATATAATCAGGTACTTTAACTGCCAGAACAGCTGTGCTATTTTGCTAGTTTTGATTGTATCTTCCTGGTCAGGCTGTACACCTTTGCATTGGGCTGCATTGAGAGGAAATGTGGAGGCGTGCACTGTACTTGTACATGCTGGCACAAAGCAGGAATTGATGGTAAAAGATAAAGCAGGATTCACACCTGTAGAGCTTGCTTCTGATAAAGGTCATCGGCACGTTGCACAATTCCTTGTATGTAACTTCAGTGGTAATTCTTATCAAAGTAGTTCTGTATTAATGTTAGCTTTAGCAATATATATTTGCATTTACCTTTCAGAATTGTAAGTTAGACATTCTTAGGTACTATGATCTATAACAAAATGGTGTGCATGAGATGTTTGACACCATATATTGTCTTACGTCGACTTGTTTAATTTGATAGGGAATTGTAGAATATTTGTTAAAGTTCTAGCACTTACCAACAATGTACCATTCGTTTTGTTTTCAAGGAGGGTGGGGAGTTCATAGGGTATAGTCACGGATGTCAGTGAAGCAAGAGGGAGATGTTAGGCTTGTGCAGGTTTTGATGGATGACAGGAGCAAGTGCTGTTGTCAAATATGCAAGTGGCAATATATAAGAGGTGTCATTGATTATTTTGCTACGTTCGTGTTACTATACTTGTGCCTGCTATTTCTATTTTTTGAGAGAGTTGATAAGAGAGGGAATGGCAATGCTGTGAGTGGCCAAGTGCTTGACTTTGCTAGTTGAAAATTTCTTTCACGTGCATTTTATCCCTATGAATTTTGCAAGAAAGACCTTACAGAGTATAAAGGGTTTGACGACCCAAGTAGCAGCCCCTTTTAGCAGCTATAATGTCATTTGGTTCAGATAAACTTTCTGTTCTCCATATAATTTCATTGTGATAAAAGATTTGTTTGTCCTCCATGACATGCAATTTAGTACTCCACCAGGTTATTTATATTTTTCTTTTTGAATGTCCTTCCTTACAGTTTGCATTCTACGAGGATGCCCTTCCTTCTGTGTTTTCGATTTTTGTTTGTCGTTACCCTTTGCAATTTAAAATTCTGCTAGGATGCCCTCCGTTACAAATTGCAGCTCGCAATTTAAATTTGACTTGGATTCCCTTCCTTCAGTGATTGTAGTTTCTGTTTGTCTTCTTTCCATCTTCTCGGCAACAAAATTTTCTTGCCACTTAATTCAAAAATAGTCTATCTTTTCCACAAGGTAACTCCTTTTTTGCGTGCATAACATTGAATGATTTAATCTGATGCAGTCCAGTGCATGCCGTGCTCAGACAAAGAATATGGAAGACAGAGTTTGCATCGGAAAAGGCAGGACGATTGGTTTTGCCCCAATTCTCTTCAGTCTAGTGGTTATTAATATCATTCTCTTCATTAGCTCAGTTCTTTTTGGTCGGTAAAGCTATATCTTGATTTTTATTCTATTAGTGGGTGAGGTAGATTATCTTTCTAATTATTTTTCCATTCTTGTGCTAGCTCCTAGTCTTACAAAGGTTACAGCTGTTGTTGGACTTTGGGGATGGACGGCTGTTTCTTTAGCAGTGGGTGCGTTACTCATGTTGGTGCGCTGCAGTAGGTAGACTTTATCTATCAATAATATATTAATAAGTTAGGCAGCCACGTGTTTACTTGAATTATTCTTCTTCTGGATTCTACAATACCAGAAAGATGTACGTATTTCATTGATACTTGAGCGCACAATACTGCAATCTTAACTGTAACTCTCTGATTGTGGCATGCAATCTTGGTATACAACAATATTCATATATGCTTTTGTAATTTTTAACTGCTATTTAACATGCATTACTTTTGGAGACATGAGGAGCTATAACATTTTCCTATCAAGAGAATTTAATTTTGGCTACTTGAGCTCGTGGCATCTTGTTTCCAAATTTACGATTCTAAATGGCTATAGCTATATCTCCTTGAGAAATATATTTTCTCGACTATTTTGTCACATAATTTATGAACGTATGGTGGTAGTGTTGCTTGTTGCTCATTTGGCACGTTTCTTTGGAAGAAAAATGGGGGAAATAGATTTAAATAATATGGGGTTCCAGGAAAACATTTTTAAGAAAAGGGGAGTGTTTTCCCATACCTACCTGAAATCCCTTATGTTTAGAGATATCTTTCTGCAATTATATGTTGTCTTGGGCAAAAAAGCAACAGCGAATATGGTTTCAGTTATTTTATTTTATTTTAATTTTTTGTCTAAAAGTTGGATCCTTATTGTTACTGTTCTTTTAGTTGGTGATGATTCTCTCATTCTGCTGCAGTAAAGATCCTGGTTATATAAAGAAAGGGGTGGATAGCCATTCTGATGTGGAGGTACCTGATCTCTTGTATAATAGTTGGTCTCTCAATTTTTCCAAGCGACCATGGTACTGGATCAAATTGTTTTAATGTAATGCAGGATCCTTTATTGAACACTGATTTGAATAATAACCCCATTTGGACGGGAAACTGGTCTCAATTGTGCCCTACATGCAAGGTTTGTTTGCAAAGTTGTCATTCGATATCAAATAACTAAGAAATGTATGATTGCATCTGGTTGCTTTCTCTGATGCATTTGGGGCTTGAGTGCTCTTTTAAACCTTTTGTTTTCTTCTGTTGTTTGTATTCTAGATAATAAGACCTATTCGCTCCAAGCACTGTCCGACATGTAAACGCTGTGTGGAACAGTTTGACCACCATTGCCCCTGGATCTCAAACTGTGTGGGGAAGGTAAGTACTAAGAATTCATATGATTTTTACTCAGTGACTATGGCCATGCTGATCACACACTTACACGTAGACAACTGATGAATATATAGGGTTGCCCAGATCATCTTTGCTGGTATAGTTTTTGTCGAAGTGCCTTTTCATCTTCGTATGTTAAGAGATGACAGTGCCAGATGCATTCTGGAATTATCTATTATTTATAGTTTACGTTATCCCCTACGAAAATTTTGTGCAGGCTTTGAATTTGAATTGATTTCTTGTGATTTCTGTTTATCCTCAATCTCATTCCATACTCTTTTTGTACCAGCATAATATGGTGCTAGAATCAAATTGCCCTTGCTCCTTTTACGATCCTTGAATTTATTCACTTTTCTATATCACAATCAATCTGGTCTTGCTTTTTTCGGTGTTCCAGTGACTTGCCTTATGCAAATTGCTGTGACCTGGTATTCTTTGTTATTGTGACCCGCTCAAAGTAAAATCTAGCCGTTGTTTGAACCCCATTTTTATGTTAAAATGAATCTGTTAATAGCGATTTTTTGGAGAATGTGTGGTTGAAAAGTAAGGAAAAGTTTTGGATTTATGTGCAAATTATTTTATTGGTAAATTGTGTGGTTGAAAATGAGTATGGAAGACGCAAGGAGATCCATTGTCTCCATTACTGTTTGTTATTGTAATGGAGGCTCTTAGTAAGATGCTCGAGAAAGTTAGGCGGGAGAATTTGCTTACGGGATCTACAGTTGTTCAGATGCAGGTGTCCCACTTGTTATTTGCGGATGACACACTGATTTTTTGTGACTCAGTTGAGGAGCAAGTTATGAATTTACGTAGGTTGCTCTTATGTTTTGAAGCGGTGTCGGGATTGAAGGTTAATCTGGGGAAATCCGAGGTTATTCCAGTAGGGGAGGTCACTAATGTGGAGGAACTGGCTATTATATTGGGTTGTAAGGTTGCGCAGCTACCTATGTCGTATCTTGGACTCCCTTTAGGGGCGCGATTTAAAAATATTAACATTTGGAATGCTATTGTGGAGAAAGTGGAAAGGAGGTTAGCGGGGTGGAAACGTATGTATCTCTCGAAGGGTGGTCGTCTTACTCTCATTAAATCTATTCTATCAAATATCCCTACTTATTTTATGTCACTGATTTCCATTCCTGCTGCAGTGGCTAACAGATTAGAGAGGATTCAAAGGGAATTTCTTTGGGCAGGGTTGAGAGAGGAGAGGAAACTGCATTTGGTTAAATGGGGAGTTGTCTGCTCTCTTATGAGGATGGGGGGTCTCGGGTTGAGGAGGCTTACTTTGTTTAATAAGGTATTGTTAGGCAAATGGCTGTGACGGTTTGGTGTGGAGAGGGAGAGTTTCTGGAGAGAAATCATTGGGGCGGAGTATGACGTGATGGATGGGGGATGGTGTTCGGGTGAGGGTCTCACGAGGTGAGTCTATGAAGGTATATTCGACGAGGATGGAATGACTTTCGAAATAGCTTGACTTTTGTAGTGGGGAATGGTAATAATATCAGATTTTGGGATGATTGTTGGTGTGGAGATATATCGCTCAAGTTGGGGTTCCCTTGCATCGCATTACTATGATGCCTTCTGTTATGGTGAATGACGTTTTAGTCATCCACAATGGGAGTCACAGTTGGAATATCACTTTTCAGAGGTGTCTGCAAGATTGAGAATTGGATGACTATGCATTGTTTCTAACGGATTTGTATGAAGTGCAAATTCGGGTAGGAGAGGATGATAGTAGCAGATGGAGGCTGGCACGAAATGGTATTTTTTCGGTTCGCTCTTATTTTAGTTCTCTTTTGGGACCGCGGAGAGTTCATTCCCCTGGATGATGGTGTGACATTGCAAATTGCCCCCACGGGTGGCATTTTTACTGTGGACGGTTATGAGGGGACAGTTATTAACGATGGATAATCTCCAAAAAAGGGGCTTTTATGTTACCGAGTGGTGCTATATGTGTGGGAGTGATGGGGAGACGCATGACCACTTGTTCATTCACTGTGATGGTGTCCATTGGCTGTGGAACAGTATTTTGGCTTCTCAACATATAGATTGGGTGTTGTCAAGACGTATAGAGGACGTGTTACGGGCATGGAGGAGGAAATTTCGTGATAAGAATAGCAAGCTAATATGGAATCTTATCCCGGAATGCATTGTTTGGTGTGAGTGGAGGGAAAGGAATAACCGATGCTTTGAAGACCAAACACAGAACACAGAGCAATTTAGAGAATTATTTTATCTGACTTTGTATACTTGGTTTAATGCAGCGACAAATAATCCTATAGAGGGGCTGCCTAACTTCATATCTTTTCTTTTTTGTTTAAACTGATAATATACTTTCGGTGTATTTTTCTTTGATTAATAAAATTTTCTTAATTATCTATCAAAAAAAAAAAAAAAGATAATGAGTATGGAAAAAAAATGAATTATTGGATAATGAAGATCAAACAGGGGGCCTAGTAAATAAGTGCTCCCTAACCATGATTTTATACAAAAACATTCTGTCATTGTGACCTGTCCTATATAGAATTCTAGTTGATAGTTTCGTATGATATAAAGGCTGAAAAGTTTATTTGGAAAATGGACGTCTCTTTCCTAGTGCTTGTGGGTGCCCAAGAATTATGCCATTGATGAATGTTCGTAATTCTTAACCAAACATTCAGCAATTTGTATGAAAACAGAGAAGAAAAGAGAGGCACACATTCAAAAAATTCTTAGAATCTACTATAATCACGTGCAATGTCTCAAATTAAAAAAGTAGTACATTCTCACATAAACCATAAATTTAATAGCAAAAAATAAGCCCCTGTTTGACAATCATTATTTCAAAAATCTTTAATTCTCATACTTATTTTCAACCATACATTTACACAATAAAATATGTTCTACGTAAATTCAAAATTTTTCCATACTTTTTAACCACACGTGTTCAAAAAAGTCACTATTCAAAACTCTATTTTCTTAAAATAATGACCATCAAATAGGGGCTAGGTTTCATAGTCATAGAGGCCTAGGGATAGACTCGCAGTGACGATAAGTCAACAAATTCATCCATATCATCATCATTACGAGGATCTGTTAAGGATGTATCAGCATGTATTATCCCTCTATCCCTGTGTCCCCATCACTGGCAATGTCCTCCCCTTTCCTTTCCTCCCAAATCCCAAAGCACATAAAGAAGCCCAACTTTGAAACCCAAAAGATGCCCATGCCCAACATTACACGTCCAAAAAATGTACTCCTATAACTTGAGCCCAGATTTTCTTCCAGGGTCATAAAATAACCAAAACCCAAGAGGAAATAAATAAACCTAACTTTAGAAAAATGAAAAATCCACAATCCAAGCCTTAAAAATTGAGATGCAAACCTCATAAACTTCTAGATGCGATGAGTCAAGTTGGATGCCTTGTATTCAAGAGGTATTACCTTTGAAGATCCAAGTGCGTACCTCACCTTTAGATGGGCCTCAAGGCATATGCCGCACATGCCTTTTGAACAATGGTTGTGCCGGGTTTATTGTCAATTAACATGGATGGACAACATATAAAGTTGATACAAACAAAGGGTAAATTTACCGCTATCACTTGTGCTGTGTTTGATCAATTTTTACTTTTTTGCTTTTCCTTTCTTGAAGCTGTCATTCAAACACCTTTGATCATGTTATAGAATATTAACATTTACTAAAATCTATGTCCTTCTCGATGGCATCAAGTGGTTTGAATATGCAGCATGGCATTATGAGTTTTTGAATTTGTAGCGTGACTTGGTGCTATTTGCTTGTTCCCCACTGAGAATTCTTACTGGTTTACCATTTTTTTTCCCTTTTCTCCCACATTTTCATTTCTTATTTACTTCATTGTTTATTGTCATCGTGAATATTGCAGAGGAATAAACGGGACTTTTTTGTTTTTCTTTGCTTGGGGACATCAACGGCATTTATTGGTGGGATTGTTGCCGTTCAAAGTATGTCAGAGGAGCTAAACTTCTATTTACTGTTAGTTGTAAATGTTACTCCCAAACCTTTCATAAGATTGAAAGTTGTGTAATATGGCAGGAATTTGGACATCTGTACCAGCATTGGCAAGGGAAGAAACATGGCTTCATCACACTGTTTTTAATTATCCTGGGATTATTTCTTTCCTGGTCATGGATGCAGCTATCTTTATTGCTGCTGCAACTTTATTGACGGTTCAAGCAACCCAGGTAAGGGATATGCCTTTTTTTCTTCATTTCATTTCTCTTTCCAATCACAATTGAAGAGTTGACGTTTGATTATTGGTTTCAAGGTAAGCACGTTCATGTTTGTCTGTTTCAGAGTGCTCACTGTAGTCAATTATTGTTTCTCTATTTTGTCAGATTGCTTTTACTTGATTTTATTCAGTTCATGAGGTCTTACTTAATTATATGAACCAGTGAAAATTGTTTGAATAGATAATATACTTGTAGTTTTAATCATTAATGATTTCTACTCTTTGAGGTCATTTTTCATCGGGTTCAATGAACTGCATCCATAAAATATGAGTGCATTTTGATATTGACTTATTAAGAAAGGGAAAGAAGTAAAGGAAGAAAAGCTTTCAGATGCTCAATTTGTTTGAGTTTGCTCCACTTGCTTGATTTGATTTTTTTTCCCCCTGGTGCTGAAATTTTGTATCCCCGTAGTGGTATCATTCTCGCTCTCAGTTAAAGTACAGGTAGCACTGTGCAAGATATTTTAATGGACTTTGCTACATATACATCAAGTTTTATATAATGGGTTACATAATGCCACATGTCACTATTATCATTTACCATTTTAAAGCATACTTAACTTTTTCATCCAATCTTTTATCTCCACATCATTATATAATTCCTTATGTACCATTTTTATGTACAAGTTACATAATCCTATTTTAATTGCAGAGATTTCTAGGCATGGCATTTAGCCATATGTTTACGTTTGCGTCTGCGTGGATAATATTGCCTATCTAGCCATGTTCAAAGCTTAAATTGGCGGGGCCCTTGGTATGTCAGCCAATAGTTGGGAGTTGGGAACTCTGACATTTTTTTACCACCAGGGCCTACTAATCTTATTTATGGGTCAAAGTTAGAAATAAATTACTAATTTTGACATTTAAGGTGAAGAGTTACTTTCAATGGTATTAACCTTTTTTAATCTAGACTAAGAAATAAGTTACATATCTAAACATATTTGGAATAAAGAGTTAAAAGTGACTTTATACTTAGCCAAACATGCTTACCAATGAGGCACGTCTTGTAATGGATCCCTCCCTCCCTTTATATTTCCTTCCTGTCTTTGCTGCTCTGTGAATATCATTCTCTTTGGTTCAAAACACACTCGAGTAGTCTTCTTTGAATTATGCATACAAATGTACCGCTATAGTACCTTGCCTAGGGAGCATGGTTACACTTGACTTTTTAAATTGCAGATTGCTCGGAACATCACCACAAATGAATTGGCAAATGCTATACGTTATGGATATCTTCGTGGTCCAGATGGGAGGTTCCGCAACCCATATAATCATGGGTGCTGGAAAAATTGCTCGGATTTCTTCATAAATGGCTACACAGATGATGACGAGATTGCTTGGCCTCCTTTGCAACAGGTTGCCAGGTAGTACATACATATTCTTGCAAGACATTGTAGAATCCCTCGTGTTTGGGAACATGATTACACACAGATATACCCTGTAATAAATAATGTATGCTTAGATTTGTTATTGTACGTAATAGAAATGGAATCTTCATCTCTACGAGTATTCTCTTGTTAATATAGACATGTTCTCCCACATTTTTCCCATGTATCAAGTGCTGTCTTTAGTTTTTTCTATATTAGACTTGAACTCTGTATTTGAATCCGATATTGGAAATGCAGCGGGATGTTTTTGCTCGACTGGTATATGATTGACTCGTATTTTGGTAAATTGTAGCGGGAATACGAATTTTGATGATGGATAATGCTTCGTTCAAATTCCGCAATAAACTAAAGCACTGTTTGTCTATCATTCTCTCGCTGTCTCCTTTTTTTTTTTTAAATATAAAACTTATTTTCAACTACACGTTCTTATAATAAAATATTTTGCAAAGTAAATTTAAATTTTTTTTCCTACTTTTTAAAAAATCACTGTGTTAAAATTTATTTTTCCTAAAAATTCTTTTTAATGGGGCTAAATTATTAGAGTTTACATGAACGCGCCAACAGAGGAAGTCTGCATAAAAATCAAGTTTAACCAACCTCGACAAAATTAATTTGGGATACGAAAATTCAGCACGTACTGTCCATGCCCGGGGACAACTTTCCCCCCATCACAGGGGGACAGTCCCCTTGGTGTGTACAGGTCACATCGGTCCTGCACGTACAACATAACTTTGGGATATAGATGAATATTAATATTAAGGACCATGCTGCACTCACAAAATGTTTTATCTAATTTTTGACAAACTGGACACTTGACTCCCCCCTGTTGGAGGGCGCCTGTGGGGTCACATCGGTCCTGTACGTACAACATAACTTTGGGATATAGATGAATATTAATATTAAGGATCATGCTACACTCACAAAATGTTTTACCTAATTTTTGACAAACTGGACACTTGGCGCCCCCCTGTTGGAGGTCCTCCAACAGGGGGGCGCCAAGTGTCCAGTTTGTCAAAAATTAGGTAAAACATTTTGTACATTTAGATTTATCCTAATATTAATTTGATCGGTTTTCGTTTAATCACGAGTTGATAGTACGTCACCCATGTGCTATATATAGACCGACGGATGCCTCCCGGGACACAATTCAGTGGTGCAAAGGACAAGAGTGAGGTAGTCTCAGCTAAGCTGGCAGCCGCAGTGTGAGGGTTCGATTCTTGCCTCTTACAAGGTATAAAATTGGACTTTTTGTGGGCACCAGTATGACAGCTCTTATACTATGACCTGATGAGGCACATCCTACGATTTACCTCTTCCACAATGCTCTAGGGGTGGGGTGGGGTTCAACCTTTTTTTTTTATATATAGACCGACGGGTTGTACGGAACAAAAGAAATTTTAAATGACTTGTATGTTTTCTATGATAGACTCGTATTACTTTTATATGTTTAACGTATTAGTATTACACTCTTTTAAATCAAAGAAGACATTTTGAATTAGATTGCGGTAAAACAAGAATTTATTGTTCAATTTTGTGAACAATGTTCTCATTTTTTCCATACTGGGCACAATTTTGTTGAAAATATTGCTTTTTTTACATGGGATTTGGTAAAGTTTTTCCACACTGCAACCTCAAAGTTCAACGGAGCTAGTTGTGAAAGACTTCATAATTGGACAGCAAACGGGACCAATTATTTCTTATTTTCTACTAGCTTAAAAGCTATCCACCAAGATCTTTTAATCAATTTTTATATTCCAATTATTGATGAAAGAGATATTCTGATGTATAATTCAACAACCCGTGAAGAAAAACAGGGGAGAGAGAGAGAGAGGCTTTAGAAGTATATGTTGGACTTATAAATGCAAGGAATTTCCTCGATTATAGGACTGGAATTTGGAAAAAAAAGTTCTGTTTTGTCCATACCATTGAAAAGGTGGAGCTCTCTCTCTCTCTCTCTCTCTCTCTCTCTCTCTCACACACACACACACACAGAGCATGAACAAAACATAAATATGGATTGGGAAACCTTGTAGTACGTAGGATTGGATTGTCAGCCTTACAAATTAACTTATTAGTTCTTTTCTTGCAGGATTCTCTACTGGGCTTATGGAGATCTCAAACTTCAGTTGCTTGACCGAATTGGTAATATGCTGCAAATTCTAACCATCATCTTCTTTATCGTCTATTTTTCCCCTTTATATTGGGTCGTTCAAAGTCGAGAAAAAGAATTTTGGTTGACATTAAATTTATCAGTATAGAGCTTAAATTGTTTTTGTTGCTTCTAGTTATTAAAAAAATGGAAATTAGAAAGCTTATTGTATGAATTTTTACATAAGGAGTGTTATCCATTTAGTAAGCAACAAGAACAAACTAGTCTTATTCGTAATAAATTTGGGATCCATCACATAAATAATTTTTAGCGCTCCATTCGGTTTGAGCATTTATGTGTCCAAGATTTTGAAATTATACACTGCAATTTGTTGTCACCAGATTAATCAATATTATCTCCATTTACAGGGAATGGATGATCATGGTTTCATCCACCAATGGCCTGTAAACTCACTTGATGACCTGAGCAGGGAGTCTATGGCTGCTGCATTTGGTAATCAAGAGTTGCATCAGTCTTTCTCTCAGGCGTTGTTCAACTATAAACGGACACTAGAATCGAAAACTGACCCTTGGAATTATTGCAAATTTGATCAAATATCAAATCCACCTCTGTCCAACAATCTTCATTTGGTCAATTCAAATTACACTAACCAAATAGGGATTGTGAAGCCCAAGGAGGAGACATGGTCTACTAGTGTTCCCACTTTTCCCTTTGATTCTGTCATTTCCCAGCCTTCAATCAGGACTCAAAATTATGAGTTGAAGGCTTCTCAAGGAGCTAAGAGAATTTGCACGAATGAGCGGCTGACTCAACCACAAGATCATATTATGGCTGAGAGGAAGAGAAGAGAAAAGCTCAGCCAAAGGTTCATAGCTTTGTCTGCTCTGGTTCCTGGATTGAAAAAGGTACTAATTTTTTTTCTTAATATAGATAGTATATCAGCCAATGATTAACAAAGCTCAAAATCACCGGTACATGTGTATCAGAATATAATTTTTTTACTTGATAATCGGCTTATCACTTTCAATCATCAAATCTTAAAGTTGTTTCATCTATCATTGCGTGTTCAATCTCACGCTCCATCGTTGTCCCCAATGGTATTCCTAATATTCCTATTATATGAAGGATTTTATAGATTTAGGATGGTTTTGTGTTTGTGAGAAGCGTTGAAATACCATGTACAATTTTTCTTCGTTAAACCTGTAGAGAAAAGATGACATAACCATAGCTTATTGCCATGCTAATGTGCATTTATCATTGCTTTACAAACCAGATGGACAAGGCTTCTGTTCTTGGAGACGCCATTAAGTACTTGAAACAACTCCAAGACCAGGTGAAGACCCTTGAGGAGCAAACTAGGAAGAAATCCATGGAATCTGTGATTTTTGTCAAGAAATATGAACTTTGTGCTGATAGTGAAAGTTCTTCATCAGACGAGAACTTTTCCAGCGGCCCTATTGATGAGCCGCTGCCGGAAATTGAAGCAAGATTTTCTGATAAAGAAGTCCTTGTTCGAGTTCATTGTGAAAGAAAGAAAGGAATACTGGATAAGATTGTTTCAGAAATTGAGAAGCTCAATCTTTCAGTTGTTAATAGCAGTGCCATGGCCTTTGGAGATTCTGCTATTGACATAACTATTATTGCTCAGGTACTTTCATGTTTAGCGTGTACTTTGCATGCAATTGTGCGCGTTAACACTTGTAATATTCGGTCATGTTTAGTATTGCGTACCAATCATGCACTTGAGGTACTTGAATAACAGAACCAAGTAGGCTCTCAGTAGTAGTCAATTACATGAATTATTTTTTGCCACTCAGTTCGCTTCATTGCTACATCTCTAGGAAGATCCAAAGTAATTAGATCTTTATCTATGTTGATTCTTCATCTGATTTTCACTCGAGAACTCATTTTTAATCTTATTCAGATGGATGAAGAATTCACCACTTCGTTAAAGGATTTCGTGAAGAATTTGCGTGCAGCATTCAAAATCTTCATGTGAAATAGAGACCCTCAACCAGTTCAAATACAGAAGTGCCTTCCTTCTACCTAAACCTGCCATAATAATTAAAGCCTATAATTATGTGAATGATCTTTGTTTTGCTGTTTTCCTGGCTATCAAATCCTGTAACTCCATTTTAAACCATTTTCCCTTTGATGTTTGCCATGAGGTTCATTTTAAAGGAGGGTTTTTTCTATCATTTTTTTCATGGTGGACTATTGCTTGCCATGTTCTCATCCTCCTGGTGTGAAGAAATTGACCTCATAGCTCGTTTAGGCCTTTTTTGGGAGGTTGAAGAATTCAACCAAACCTAATGTTTTATTTTGGAAAAGGGTTTTTCTTTTGGTGGATGGATTGGACAGGAATTTGTAGCAGAAGGGTTAGCTGTTTACTGTTTTAGAGGCCTTATAAGAAAATCTTCTTAGGCTTCTTTTCTTTGTAATAATGTCATCTTGTCTGTATGAACATTGTTGACAATAATAAATGCATTATGTTTACTATATTTATGGTGGTTGGATTTCTTGATCTGTTATTTAGAGTATGCTAGACTCGTATCAAGATGATGATGATGATGATGATGATAATAAAGGTACAAAGTTATAGTGGGTACAAATCTTCTTTTGATTTGAAAATCAAATGTTATTTTCTCCATTTCTCGCATTTCTTATTTTGAGTAAAATGTAGATTACAAGATGTGTATTGTGTTGGTTCGTTATAACAGAAAAACTCTCTTTAATTTTCTTAGTAGTCTTCTTCTTTGAATGAGTTCAATTCTTCGCTTTCTTTATTGCCTACTCTAATGCATAACAAGTACCCCACCGAAGGATGAGGGCGAACAATATCTACTCAACATTGAACTAGAAATGGAACTGGCTCTTTTCATTTGGAGTTATAGGTTATATGTCATGATTGGTTAATCCTAAAAACAAGAAGGAAAAAAAAATCCACTTTTAAGTAACTTCTACTTTAGGCTCAGCTAAACGTACTATAAATCTCGATTTTTTTTAAAATATATATATATTTTTTTGGGAATTTATTTGTCATCTCTAATAAGGTCTTTTTTCCCTCAACTCTCAACTACTTAAGTTGAACCAAACCAAACAATATGGACTATTAGGAAATAATATTGGAGTGTACGCAGGTTTGAAGGCCAATCTTACAGATTGTGCCACCTAATCTAAGATATACATTACTATCAATTCATATAATTTTTGTCCCTTCCAAAGATTGTTATCTTTATAACATGTCTAGTTATAGGAGTCACTTTCTATAATTTTATGAATTTTTTATTGCTTGATTAACTTCAATAATGCACTATAAAAAACTAATGACGTTGAGAGTTGTATATTCCTTTGAACTACCAAAATATATAACATTTCTCTCATTAAACATGTATTTGTCGCTCTAAAATCTTGAGTTTCCTCCATGATTATCGAGTATTAAAATGTTCATTTCGTCGTGGACTAATTGAATATGTATAATAAAAATTGGATTTGTGATTAAAGATTAACACGTTCTCTTAAGTCAAGATTGGCACTTTCAGACCCCCCAAGATTGCCATAAATTGGCACTTGCCACTTGGGTCTTGATTTTAATTATGGGAACAATACATAACTAAAATGTTTAGTTTTATCAATTTTAAATTTAAGAACTTAATTTTAAAATTTCAAATTAAATTTTATTTATATATTTACTAATTAAACATATATTTTATTAATTAAATATATTCTATATAATTTGGTCACAAATTCTATATAATTGGTTACATATTATTAATTTGTCACAAATCATAAATTTTACATGTCACAAATTATTTTACGGTCACAATTCAAAAATTTTATATGTCACAATTTGTTCATCGGTCACAAATAAAAAAATTTATAAGTCACGATTTAGTAATTTTATAAATCATAATTTGTTCATCGGTCACAAATAAAAAAATTTATATGTCACAACTTGATCGCAATTTTATACAATTTGATTACAAATTCATTTTTCGGTCACAAATCAAAAAAATTATAAATCACAATTCATTTATCGGTCACAAATCACAAATTTCATAAGTTACTCAGATTTTTAGGTCACATATTATTATTGGTCACAATTTATCGGTCACATGTTATTTTTTAGTCATAGAATACTCAAATTAATGGTCACAATCTTAAATAATTGTTCACAATCCCTCTTAATTTTACTCCCTATCACAATTCCCCAGGCACTACTACTTCCACAACTACCATTTTCCACTTCAAAATCACTGCCATCACCTCACCACAACTACCACCACCACCAACAATATCCAACAAAATCGTTGCCACCGTTACCCAAAAAAATTAATAAATCAAATCCACAACAACAGCCGCACCACCACTGACACTGCAATGACCACCCCACGACCACAACCAACAACCACCACTAACATCGATACCACCACCAACAACAAAGCGTTGTTTGTTTTTTTAAAGATGGACAACTGACATCAACACCACCGGTAGCAAAACCATTATCTCAACATTAAAACTACCACCACCAGCTTACCACTCCAAAACCCTCGCCAAAAAAATTTCCAAATCTGTCGCCAGGAACTAACTCCGCCTCGCCATCACCGCTTTACAGGAATTGCTAGATATCTTCAGGAAGCTAACCGTAGCCACAACGAGAGACAATGAGCATCGACGTCATTAAAGTTGAGGCAGTAGCGTTGTGGTAGGGTAGCATTGACCCCACACGAGCTCATCTCAGCTGGACACCGGAAGATGCGGTGAGGCAGGGGGTTCCTGGAAGGAAGGCGGAAGGGGAAGCGAGCAGCCTTCGCTTGGGAGCCGAACCTAGTGGCGGCGCTACGAACGGAAGACTACCGGAATATAGATTTGGTGGCGAAGGAAGCGGCTGCGACAACCATTTCTTTCGGGGGAAGAGAGAGAGAAAGGAGGGGAAGAAGATAAAATTTAGGGTTAGGTTTGGGTAATTATGATTAGAGAGAGAAGGTAGATGAAATAGATAAATTAATATCCGATTTTTGTAAAAATAGAGTTTATATTTGAAATTTGAAATTGTAACTTTAAAATTCTGATAGTGTAATTTCCTCTTTTTTAAAGTCCATTGAAATTTGAAATTGTAACTTTAAAATTATGGTTTTGTGTAATTTCCTCTTTTATTTTTGTAGTTTGCATCAAAAGAAAAATAAGTAAACTATTACAATGAGTAACGACTTCTTTCATCTATTAGGAAATCTTTAGCCGACCATTAGGAGTACCAATATTCGACAATCAAGCATGTTTTGTTATACTTAAAAAGGTTTATACTTTAAAAGGTTTTAAGTTACTTATTTGGTTTAGATGATTTTTAAAAGAGTAATGCTATTTATCATTATCCAGTCGGGCTTCCATACTTCTGGCTCGCATAGTGGGCCCCTCCTTTCCCTTCGCATTGTTTGACCAACATTGATCACATCCCCAACCTCGTCATCCCCCTCTTCTGGCAACAAACTTAAGCTTAAGTGCTTTGAACCTGACATTGTGAAGATATCCTCGGCCTCAAAGAGGGAAGAAATGAAAGCTGGTTCCATCTCCAGCATCGATCTTCGAGAAAAAGCCACTGCCCTTCTCACACCTGATAGGTTCACCAAATTGTGACTTCTTGTGTCTGTCAATGGCTCGAATACTAACTTGCAAGGTTTTGAGACACTGCTCTCTTGCGTTCTCGGTTCCAAAGCAAATAAGGGTGGTACTTTCAACCTGTTGATGGCAGATACATTGGCTCAGACTTTCATAAAGATTGGAGTATGTAGATAAGAAGTTAAAAGGAGATCGGATTTGGAAGAGTTTGCCAGAGCGGAGAACAAGGCCCGAGACTGGGAGGACTTGTTGTAATTGTTCAAAATGATAAACGAAAGAATTGAATGAAAAAAGGATGGGACATCAAATTAAAATCAAACGTGGGCATTGGGGCTAGATATTAGCCCCTGGTTTCGGCAGAAGTAGAAGCCAAAACACGTGAACCTTTCGCAACCATGGTTTACTACCATGCGTGCAAGGCTAGTGAAACAAGCTGCGAGGCTGGCTTCACAATTTGATTTTCTGGTGTCTTTTCGCGAAAAGCTCCCAACTTTTCATGAATTATTTAAGCCTTTTCGTGGTGTATTTATGGAAAACTATAAATAGTTGATAGTTTTCCATTTTTAAACATTAAGAAATCATAATTCATTTCAACTTTGAAAGAGTTATTCCAATTCTTCTATACATATTCAAACCTTCAAGAGTTCAAGTTCTTGGAAGAAAAACAAGAAGGCTTTTAAGTATTTTTCCTCTTAAAGGCTTGTTCAATCCTACAAACCATTGCCGTGAGTCTGTTTAAGCACTAAAAACAATCCTAGGAAGGCCGAATATCATTTGAGGATAGCAATTATGTGTACAAGTCTCATTTCTAGTTTTTAAGTGTTCTTTCTGCTACTTTTGTTCTCTTCTCCCATTCTTCCAAAGTCTTGATTCAAAAATACTTCGAAGTGTTGGCTAAGGTATATGGGGACAAGGTCGTGTCCCAGAGTGTCTGGCGCAGACCACAATTGAACAAGAACGAGATTGAGAAAGAAAGAGGGAGAGAGAGAAGATTGAGAAAAAAAAAAACTCATATTATGAAATTGTAACGACAGTTTGGTTGGACGAATCCGCATTCATTTTATTCTTTATATATTATCAAGCGTGACACGAGAAAGAAAAGAAGTTTCAACAGGCATATTCTCAGAGAAATTTTCAGAACAATTATCAGAACATCAAAAATACTCCAGGACCGTAAAAGAAACTTAGTTACGCATCCTACTTAAATTTTTTATTTCCTGATAAATGAAATTCCCTTCTGAATGCTTTCTACTAGCTCTTTCTTTGCTTTCTCCAGGCCCACCCTGTAGAAAAGCATGGTTTACGAATTAGATTTCAGCTCTCTGCATGTAGTATAGTGTTTTCTCTTATACAGGTATTATACCTCTCATACTCATTCAAAGGTCCAAGCTGGTAGATCTCTTCCGCTCCTGCACGGCCAAGCCGTACCTTAGAGGCAAAGAAGGGGAGTTCCGTGACCTGCAAGAGATAAATCTCTAATGTTTCAGCAAATATTGCAGAAAAATCAGGGAAAATATTTAGTAAAATAAAGGCCTCATAATGTACCTGAGAAGATACGAAAGCACATTCAACAATGTCAGCACCTCCTTTTAATCCGCGGAGGCACGCATCTGCAAATTTGACTGCTGCGTATGCCTAAAGCGGTAATTTAGTTTTATCATGTGCTAACTTGCTATTGTTAGAGGCTAAGATCTGTTCTGCTAAATTTAAGCAATCATAGAAATAACTTACCATTGATAGCGTTGCGGAACCAGCACCAGCTTTTGCCTGCGAAAACCATACATAGGTTACTATTCTCCAGTAGGAAACTAATGATAATTGCTGCAACTGTTATAGCATTTCGGCTTAAGATGCTTCAAGTGAACTGTTGATCTTGTCGGTATTTGAATTGAGAAATTTATGAAATGCAATACTGCATCTTTAGTAGCATGTTTGGCTGTGCTGGAAAGTTATTTGTCTAGAAAGTAAGTTATGACTTGCTCTTTGGAAAGCTAGTTTTGTTAGTAGAAAAAGTAGCTTTAAATATCATGTTTGGAAAAATAACATAAAAGTAAGTTGGACTTAATCTTAAGCACATACAAACAGTTTTTTTTTTTTTGCTAATTGACAAAGGATAGACCTGAACAACTTCAGTTCCACCATCTTGAATGCGCTTTGTCAGGTATTCGGTTTCCTCTATTGTAAACGAACAAGGAGGTTTAACCTGCATAGCACCATTCTTTCTTTGATTTATATCCATTGTAAGTAACATATGAACAGGAAAACCGTAGGGACGGTTATTGTAAAAGGTTCTCTAACCTGTGAGAGAAGAGGCAAAATTGTCACTCCTGCATGACCCCCAACAACAGGAACATCAACGTCTCTAGGATCAACTCCCAAAACTTCTGCCTTTAAAGATATCAATGCAAGAGAGAGACGATTAACTGATCAGTTCCAAAAACTACAGTCCAACGACTCCAATCTGAATTAAGATTTTATAAATGACACAGCATCAGGCAAATTCTAGCTTTTTTACGTGATTTATTCTGATATTCGACTGCAAATAGTTGCAGGAACAAAGGTATGAATACTAAGTTCTTTTCTCATTTAGGAAAAGTTGTGACTATAATATTACAGATGAAACTGAAATCTGATGCAGTTTATCTTAGAAAGTCACAAAGTTGAGTTTTACAGAAAATGGTATAGTCTGCTCTTTTATTTAACTCAAGGAACTTATCATTTATCAGGATTTCTCTAAATAGCACGACATGTTTGGCACACACTATGAACATGATGACACAGTACAACAAACAAGACATTAACTTCTTTTTCTTTACCATGTTCAGTACAGAATAGTCCATTATATATACCTGATATGACATATTGAGTCCAACAAATACTTACCACAAAAGTGTTGGCTCTCACAACATCAAGCATGGTAACTCCCAAGAGCTTCTTTGGATCATAAGTGCCTGCTTTCTTGAAAACTTCTGCTGCAATTGGAACTGTTGAGTTCACCGGATTACTGATCAAGTTGACAATTGCATTAGGACAACACTTTGCAATTCCTTCACAAAGGGTCCTCACAATTCCAGCATTGATGTTGAAAAGGTCATCTCTGGTCATTCCTGGCTTCCTTGGAACACCCGCAGGTATAATGATAAGGTCCATCCCTGTAAGAGCATTCTCCAGTTGCTGTTGTCCAAGAAAACCTTTCACCTATAAGTCAAAACAAAATTCTGTTTACCCTTCTGGACTGGGGAAATGTAAAGCCCTAATCCTACTACTCACAAAAGCAATAAAAACAAAATAAATTGAAAACAAGTGAAGTCAAAGCATAAATATTTAGCCGTTTATCTCGATATGAGAGTTACATGAGTCAATTTGCTTCTGCAGTTTTCTCACTCTCCCACACAGAGAAAAGGCACCTCGAAAAATTCTATATATACTTTGAATATGAGTTTTGGTTGCAGTCGAGATGACAAGTGTATGATTAGACTCCACATAGTCCAACACTGGATTGAAATACATATACTTACCACAGCACCAGTATCCATATGGCTGATATCAGCAGTGACTCCGGGGGTGTTAACGACATCATAAAGATGAAGAACAGAGACTAATGGATTCATTTTCATCAACAAGGAGAGGGGTTGGCCAATTCCTCCAGCAGCACCCAATATGGCTACTTTGAATCCAGGTGCGCCGCCTTTTGCTCTGCATTCTGCTTGCTTCAAAATGGAGCTCTCCTCCATCTTTTGGTACATGAGAAATTCAAAGTAAAGCATAAAAAATATGCAGATCGATAAACACTAATGCAATAACACTTGACTGGTGGAAAATCATGAACTTATCAGTAGTAGCAAGAACTGATGTAGTTAGTTGCCATTGTTATATATATATATAAAAGCATGTCATGTATTAACAATCCATCTTGGCCTGTTCCATAGGCTGATTAGATTGCAGTATCAAGAACAGAGTAGAGAGTGAAAAAACTTCATGCAGTCGAACTCTGTATTTATTACTTATTAGAAACGAGACTTGGGTTCAAAATTCATGTAATATGAATTAACAATCCTTCTTCAGTAGGGTGGATTAGATTGCACTCGATAGTATTAAACACAAAAATATCCTAAATTTTTGTTTATTCTACTGTCCAGTACAGTCTCATACTGCATACGTATAACAGCCTCAAAACTGGTGATTTGAAGATGAGCAAACCTGGTGGTTTGAAGGGTGAAGATGAGCTGAAATTCTTGCAATGCGTTGATTAGCTTCTCCACTCTGCATGACTGTTTTAGATTGCCTTCCTAATTGCTAGAAAGTGTGGGAGTTTGTGTTTAAAACTATAATAAAGTAATTGGAAAATGAAATTCCAAGTATCTAATTTCTGTGGAAATGGAATTTTCTGAAACTTTATCTTTGTATCTTATTTCTGTGGCTCTTATATATCTGGCTTTGGTTGGCTATTTTTCTCCCAACTGGTTGATTTGGAATTTGTCCTGGAATGAATGACCTGATTTTCGATTACTTATTTCTTTTTCTGTTTAATGGAGCAGGGAATTTATTAATTATAGAAAAAAATATATCCGGCACCGAGGTAGAAGAATAAAATTCACTTCTTTGTGGTTATGAATCTTATGATCTGAGTTGTTTTATTCACAACGTGGAGTGCATGTTTGCTTAGTTTATATATAATTTTTTTGTTTAAGAATTAAATTTTTATTAATAAAGATGTAATTTTTTGGTTAATTAAATAACTAATGATGTAATGTTTATATAATTGATAAATAATTACACATTGTGATATATTAAAAAAAGAACATTAATAGAATCTATAGTATGGTCCTATAAATAAACATCGCTCATAGTTTTATGAAAGCTGTTTGAGATAATTTTGATTCTAAGATAATGATTCAGCATTTTCTTCATCTTGCACTGCTTCAATAGAGAGGACATTAAACTGCCTATATTTTTTCTCCTTTAGTTTCTCTGGATCTACATAAACTTGAATCTTCCAAATTTCTTTCGATAATCTCTCTGCAACGCTTTTAACATATGGTCGATTTTTCTACAAAATAAATTTTGAATAGGTTTACATAATTAATAAAAAACCCAATTATTTTTTAAATAAGTCATTATAATAAAAATCAAGTTTTGAAGAAAAATTTAAGAAATACCTCTCCAACATGTCCCATCAATTCAACTGTTGAACAACTAAGTGCATGTTCTGTTACTTCACCAAACATAGTAGCAGCTAGTTTTCCAATATTATCGTCAAGTTCAACATATCATCTAACACTTTAAATGCTTGAATATATTAATTTTAATTTGAATAGTGTTAAATTCTAAATTAAATCAGACATCAATTTTAAATTAAAATTGTAAGATACATACCGTGGTTTGTAGACCCATTGGCTTTTGCAATATATACAAACGAAGCTTTCATTGTATTTATATCCAGTTCCTTTATTACAGTCAACGCATGACATGTAATAAAATACTTGGACAAACTCAATCACATTTATTTTCGCCCATATCCAGAATTTTGCTTTCTACATTAAATCATAATCAATTTTTACAATGAATGTTAGTGTAAAGACAAAAAAATGTATAAGTTTGTGTTTCGTACTATTATATTATATCAAATTTTGCACTTAATCATGAACCTTTTGTACATAATAAAATAATAGATAACATTACATTACAATACAAAACTAAATAAATAAATATTTTTTCTTCATTAAGTTTAATGTACCTTACCAAATAAATTATTAGCATTTTTAAACCGATAATCTCCACGTCCATTTTGTTTTTTTAGTTTAATTTTTTCCTAGTGATTAAAATGTAGTAGTAAGAAGCATTTTGCATTTCCCATTTATTTAATATTAGATAATGGAATTCCAACAGACACAACATCAATTGACACAGACGGTGGTTGAATTGCTATTTAATGGAAACAATAAAACTAAAGGTGAAAAAAGATTTTACGTTAAAACAACAAATTCCGTTAGATTTTCCATTAAAATAAGAATTTCTGTTTCATATGTACTTTTTATATATAGAAGATATTGTAACTTGGATCTTGTAACTTGCCATTCACTTTATGGCAATTACTACAGGAGTTTCAGAAAATGAAAAGTCAGTTGGAAAATAAAAATGTAGCAAAACGTGAACACTCCTAAGGGGCCAATAATTTGTGTACGCATGTCCTGCCCGCACACAAGTTCAAGGCATGAAGCCCACTTCGATCCATGATTACCACAGGAGTTTCAGAAAATGAAAAATCAGTTGAAAAATAAAAATGTGGACACTCCTAAGGGGCCAATAATTCGTGTACGTAGGTCGCGCCCGTACACAAGTTCAAGGTCCGAAACCCACTTCGGTCCATGATTTGTACCCCTCCTGCGCGCACGTGAAGAGAGCCTTTATGGTACACATAATTACACTATTTTAAAGTTTAATCCTTTATAAAGTGGTTTTAGTTTTCTTCAACTTCCTATGTGGGACAAGCATACTTTTTAGTTTCCCACCAACATTAACTTTTTCTAAATGGCACACTTTGAGTTTCAATTTCTCATCCACCCGTGTATCAATTTTGGCAAGTAAATATATGATTTCAATGTACACATGGAGGAAAACACAAATCAACCTTGATTTTCCAAAATAGTCAAACGAGTCCCACTCAAAAATCATGCCAAAGTCAGCTATATACATTTTTTTCCAACAATTATTGTTCAAGTATTGAAATTTTGATAGAAAAGCAAAGATACGTCTTTTGGGGATTTCATTCGAAAACAAACAACGAATTCGTATTATAAAATGTCGTTGTGAATAAGCAATGCAATGAAATGAAGAATACAATCAATCCAATCTGTGCTACATGAAAAATTAATATCAAAAGAAGCGAGATTGGGCTATTTTTTTCCTTATCTTTAGGTACAAAATAGCAAGATGAGTAATTAAAATCAGTCTGCTGGTGACTTGAAGTAGGGAGCTCGTTGTATAGTGTGAAGGGAAGTAGTATTGAGTTGGTTAGAAGTAGAAATATTAGCTCGAATTCTAAATAATCAACCTCCTCAAGTGGTAAGAGCAAAACTTTAGTAAGTCATTGACCTAAATTCGAATCTTGGGTCATATGTGCTACTCGACTTTCAAATTAAAAAAAAAAAAGAGAGAAGAAAGAACAATTGTCACCAACATTTTTGAAATGAAAATTAAGGACAATGCTACATGTACCGAATTTTTTTATTTAATCCCTTAACGACTACTCACAATAGGGGGTGGAGACCACATCTTGAGATTTTTTTATTCACGCGGGCCCGCGTGTATGTGAGAGGGGGTAAACAATTCGGTACATTAAATTATGTACAAGTATCTTTACCCGAAAATTAAATAACTACTAATTGTTACTACAAATTTCTTGTATAGTAGAAAATAAAAAGAACCAAGAACATTGTATTTGGTTATAGGGGATGTGACAAGGGGATTGGAATTTGATAACATACCCACCAAACTACTCCTTTTGGAATTTTGGGACGCCTCCGGATTAAACTTTTATGCTCTTGGTAAAAACGACAAAGAAAAAAAAAATTAACAATTAAATTAAAAATAATCCCTTAAAAGTTATTCCATTCGATTTATTTCTATAAAATCGAATAATATTCTTAAAATTTTTACGATAAGATGTATTATTATTGAAGAGAACTTTAGTTATGGACACTAGACATGATTGGACTTCCAGTCTATACTACGGCAAGTTTGGTAAGATTTTATCATCTGAGAAGGAAAAGAATTGATTACCACGCGCAGAACTATTGACAAAAATAAACTTTAGAAGGTTATGCAATCAAATCAAGTAAATTTCACCAATCAAGACTGAAGTTTGTGCAGAATTTCATTTTGAATATTAAATATTTTTTAAATCCATTTAGTCAAAAGTTTATAATGGTCTCGCTATTAGTCACCCGATTATTCAAAGTGTTGACCTTCAAATCCACTAGATTCAGTGTCAGCAACCTTCATTTTTTCTCTCGTTCACATGTATCTTACGTGCACGCTTGAACATTCATGTTAAACTACACAGAATGTTGCTCCAGGGGTGCAATAGTTGCAAACACTTCGGACATGCTCAAGTAATATGATGAAGATTTATTGAGCGTGGAAGAGACACAACGAACGAAAATATGGATATTGAGTTCTACACTTACATAGTGTGTATTCCTTTAAATGTAGAGGTGTGAGCATTTATAGCCAAGAAGAATGAGTTGAGACTCATGGATGCTGACATGTGGCTTCACTATTCAAATTCAATTGTATCGATGAAAGCAAAGCCATAACACGCTTATGGTCTCCATAGATCTGAAGTTGTGATTTGACTAGGCATGAACGCTATAGAGTTGTCATATCAATTAATTATTGCGCATGTATTATGTGCAATTTGATTAAGAATAGGCTTGTAACAGATATTCATTGACTCAAACATATATTACAGTGGAGAAGTGACACATCATCTTGAATAGAAAAAATATAATGAGCAAGACATCTATGAGCTTGGCCTGATAGCCTCGAAAGAAGCATGTGGACAAGATGATGCAAAGCAAAGTGCTTACTTCGCGCGATCTTTTGCTTTGTGTGGCTTTCTGCTTAACTAACTGTCACGTGACCTTACCATCGGACAAAGGCGTAACAAAAAATAATATATATTCTGATTTCACATTCGTTAATCTGTTAATGTTATTAATTTACATACTAACAACTATTAGAAAAATTTAAGTATATAAACATTTAATAAATGAAAGAGACGATTTATGAGAGAGAGAGAGAGACGATTAATGCATGTAAGAGTATCTCCAAGAGACTCTTTAAATATGAGATGTTCTCTATTTTAAAAAGTCAACATCTAAAATCATGCTTTAAGAGACTCTTTAAATTAGTATTTTAATTTAGAAAGTGGGTTTGGAGTGCCAAACTCGCTCTCTATAATTAAATGCATTCAAAATATTTCAATTTTAAATGTAAGAAAACAATAAAATAATATAAAGTAAAGTTAGTTAAAATAAAAGATAAACAAAAATAATAAATATTTTTTGGAAGTAGTAAAATTAAGTGTTAAATATAAATAGCTTGTTGGGGTACTTCAAAATTTTAACTCTCTAAATTTATAGATACTCTCCAAATGATAGAATATGATCTTTAAAAATAAAGAGTCTCTTGGAGATGCTCTAACCCCATTTGGTTCACTTATGATGTACGTCAATTTATTCATTAATTTACTAATCGGAAGACCA